CTACGTGACATACTTGGAATTGCCACTGGCCAGACCAGTTTTTCTCCTGCAAGAATGAAGCTGCATGGGATTGGCATCATCATTACCACTCAGCCTCCCTCTCCTAGGTTAGCTGCCTGTGACTTACACCCCAAGCTCACACGGCCCCATAATGATGGCCACTCATATGACTGAAGAAACCTATTACAGTGTTACAGACCCCAACTTTCCCTCATTGCTGTCTTGAACTATTATTTAAATCTCTTATTGTTATTTAACTTCCTGTGTCAATATCTTGTTTTCTTTGTCAAGTTGTAAGGGCCTTTCAAGGCAAGAACCGGGTCTAGCAAATGAAGCTTACTAGCACAGCACTGGGTTTACAGTGCTCAGCAAATATTTGTTTTATTTGTAAATATTTGTTCAGTAAAGAGTTTCCTATCTTTCTCACATACCTGGCTATTGCCTGCCAAACACTAATTAATTCATTAGGAAAGCCATACTTTGCACCTGGATGCTGGGAATGCAGACAGAGACCTGGTCACTGAACTCACAGGGAGACAAGCAACAATCAGAATGTGGTACAGGGAGAATAAAGGATGGTGTTCTGGGTACAGGTAGGGGGATTCAGGGAAGGTTACTAGGAAGTGAGTCCCTTCAAGGATTAAGTATTTGCTTCCTAAGCATCATAATGGGTATGTGCAGGGGCATGTCGGTGAGCCCAAGCATGTAGCATTTGGGTTTCAAGTCATTTGCTATTTCAGGAGCTTCCACTGAAAAGCTCAACCTATTCCCAAGGTCATCCACTAAGGTCAAGACAGAAATGGGCTATGAAATCACAGGTTCTTTCCTTTGGTAAGCGGGCTCTGAGAGCATTCGATGCACCTCTTTGTTAAGTGTGGCTTCATAAAAATCAAAGCTGATTGATGGAAGCAGGCTCTCAGCCTTCTTGTATTTAGTCTACCCGTGCTTTTAGTACTACTGTGGCCATGTTTCCTAATGGAAATGCATTTCTCTCTCTCACCATTACCCTGATATAGATGCTTTCAGATATGAAAGGCCTTTTACCTCAAGATTTTTGTCTTGTAAGGCATCCCTAATTCAGGAAGGAAATGAGGAGTCAAGAAGCACCTCCCACAAATGTTTTGTCAGGTAGTTCAGAGAGAGAGAGACAGGAATTTAAAGAGCTCAGTTTATGTATGGCTTGGAGTTACAGCCCCATTACCCTGACTCAGTCCAGTTCAAGGAATTCACTTTCTCTTGTGAAGGGCCCTATATAAAAAATATGCTAAGTGTTTCACATTTTTCTTTAATAAATTAAGATTAACAGCATAATATAATCTTCCATTTTATTATAAAGGTTCGCTGGCCCGGGGGCCCTACTGATACTATCTTACCAACTTGGACAAATCCATTGTGAGATAGGTATTATCCCCATTACATAGGCGTGGAGTCTGAGGTCGAGAGAAATAAAGTAGCAGATCCAAGGCTACCCAATGGTGAGCGGCATAGCTGGGATCTGAAAATGAGCAGGTCCAATTTCAAAGCTGAGGGCTCTTACTGATACCCAGTGTCTTCCAGACCAGCCATACATATATATGTCAAAATGCATGACAAAGAGCTGGCAAAGCCAGAGGTAGAAAAGACAGAAAAAACCATCCCCGTCTCTCTTGTGGAAGGAGGAATTGGGTACCCACCAGAGTTGTATAGGTGGACTGGTTGAAAGGCACAAAAGTGAGCCCTCATGGGAATACTCAGAGGTTAAACTATTGACATTTCTTTCAAATAATCTGGTTTAATAATGAGCCACACATGGGTGGCTTGTTCTCTGCTACAAAATCACTTGTCAGGCCAAATGAAACTCCCAACCTTCAATTATTCCTGAAAGTTAAACTGGAAGAGCAGTTCATGATCAAAATTAAGGGTCCAAATGTCAATATAGGGCTATCTCTTTGGTTTGCTGTGGGACCGTGGTGGTGCCACTGACCCTCTCTGAACTTCTCATAAGCTGCAAGATGCTGATTTATAGGGGCATCAGGGAAGAGAAAGGAAGGCTTCTCAGGGAAGCTTTTGAATTAGTGTGGTTCTCTTTTTCACAAAAAGGCAGGGCAGCAGCAGAAGTGACATCTTGAAAAGGAATGGAAAACAGCTCTAAGCTTCTGGAAGAGCCATGCTAGAGATCCCCTTCCCCCACCCACAGCAATCCTGCTACTTCATTATGAAATAGGAGAAAAAACATTTTGCATCAAGAAGCTGACATCTGGAAGCAGGCCTGGAGCCTCCCGCGAAGCCACCCATCAAGACTGTTCAGCCCAGAACCCTCCCCGCATCCAACTGCCTCCTGCCCAATGCCCAGCAGTGTTTCCAAATGGCTCAGCTTACACCAAACTCTCAAAGCAAAGCAGACCTTAATTCACTTTGGTTTAATAATTAAACAGAAAGTACCTTAAACGTTTCAGGAATGTGGTAATAGGCCATGAAAAGTTACTGGGGAACCAAAATAATACACAGATGTTAACTCTGCTGAAGCAGCACATCCTTGCCGGCTGAAAGTTGGTGGAAGGGGGCGTTACTCTGGGCACAGCAAGTGTTTTATCTGCAACTGACAAATCCCAATCCTTCCAGCTTGTGTTTCTCCCTACTTAAGACCTGGGTCACAGTGTTTATTCACTTAAGTGATGGAGATGAAGGTAAGCTTAACACTGGCCACCTGTCAGAATAACAGTGACCTGCCTCTTAAGAGGATTTCAGCAATTCCCCAACATCTTAGTAAGACAAAAGAGGACTGGGAGAAAATGTAGAGAAAAAAACTCACAAACTGAGCTTGAAGGAAATGGAATTTAAAGACTCCAAGGGGAGAGAGGCTGAGATCCATGGGTGTCATTTAAAGCAACTTGAAGGAGTACAGATCCCTTTCTATTCTGAGATTAGAAGGGATTCTGCAAAATACCACACCCAAACAGAGGAGTCAGTCTCTCTTATCTGCCTCTTGCAAATGTCCTTGGGATTCTTCATATTCTTATGAAGAGAGGTTCGTTATTGTTTCCAAGGAGTGCAAATAAACATAGTTTCTCAGAAAAATACCACTGGTGCTCTTGAGGGTCAACAGAGATGCCCTGCCTGAAGAATCTCAAGGCAGCAAGGGAGACCTAACTTACAAACACATGTGCACCATGCTTACTGGATGCCAGCCAGTGATCTCCACGTCATGTAATGTATCAGCAGCATCAGCCCCATTTTACAGAGGTAGTAAGCATCCAGCCAAAGGCACGAATGCTGGTCTAAGGTGAGATGTGATTTGGCATGCCCTGGCTCTGGGCTACACCCACTACACTGTACCAGGCCTCAAGCAGAGAGAGGAAATGGACCAAGTTGATGTCACAAAGCCATTGCAGGGTGCTCCAGCATGAGAGGCAGTAAGTGTCCCCAGACCCACATTAATTTTACACTAGCTCTTGGGGGGCATCAACTTTTCTAATCTAGAGGCAGGGTGATGAGAAGGGCATGAGCTCTGGGGTCCGACAGACCTGGTTTTGAAACTTCCGTTTTCCTAGGCAAAGTTACTTAGCTTTTGGAGTCTTGGTTTCTTATCTACAAAAGGGGGCTTCTGTGACCTCTCCCAGCGTTTTGTGAAGATGAAAAAAAAATACGAGACCTGCTCAGCAGAATGCCTGGTGATGGAAGCACAGAAAGTGCCTTATTAACAAGGGCTATTTAAAGTGTTTCCTTGTTATAAGATGCAGGGAGAAAGCGTCAGGCATTTGGACAGTCATTCTGGCCTCCCTGGACACAGTTCATACATATGGAATAGTTAGTCTGGACTGGCTGAGGGCAGCTCCGTCCCTGAGCCAGTCTACCCTACAGATTCAGCAGACTGGTTGCTTCCTACCCCCACACATGGCCAGCAATCTGAGTAAGTGCTTGGCTTACACAGTTTGAGTCAAGACGTGCTCTCTAAGACTGTGCGTGCCCACTTGTCATGATCATCCACCTGTTTCTGGAAAGCTTGCTTTTCCAGAACTCGGAGCCTAGCTCCTTGTACCAGATGAAATTCCCATTCAGCGCACCTCTCACTCCAGCTCCCTAGAAGGGCCCTGGAATCAACATCCTCTTCTGATACAGTCCTCAAAGGAGGGCTGCCAGCTTCTCACTTCTTTCATGGACCTCCTCCCATTGGAAAGCTCGAGCGTCTGCTCTGTAAGCTCAGATCAAAGTGTTCACCACAGGCTCAAGGTGGCATCAGAGACACTTAATAAATACTAACAACTCTGATGGCCTAAGATGATTACACGTGAGTCTGAGCTGGAATTCTGGCCTATAGCATTCTCTCTACTCAGCTGATACTGAATGAAATCAAGAATTCTTTTCAGAAGTACACTGAAAAATCCACGAGGGATAGAAAGGAAGGAAGATATCTCAGAATACAATCCAACAGGCACTGGGACATAGGCTTTGGGGGTACACTGCACATTCAACGTCATCAGCTTTTCTTCAATAGCTCTTCCAGAGAAAATAAAAACGATGTAACATAGTTTTCCCGCCCCATCACTGGCTGCCTCCTGGGTGCCACAGCGTTTTAGTGGTGGACGTCATTAACAAGCACTGAGAGGGAGCAGGTAACTGCTCCTGGGGACAAGTGAGAATGCACAGTGGTTACTCTATTACCCACTGGTACACCCTCCCACCACACACACATCCACATGGTGTCGGCAGCCTCCACTGCACGGTCTCTCTGCTCCTGTAGAAATTACAAGGGCCGAAGATGAAATCCCCACCTTTTGAAATGCATGGCAAGATAGATGATGGTGTGATGGAAGGAAAGAGTACACTGAGTGCCTTATCGATCTACCTGCCAGCCCATGAATGGTGGGTAATAAAAATTTATTGAAAATTAGAAAAAAAAAGCCACTTATTCTAATCTTTCTGAAAAACAGTATGGATGTTCCATATAAATAAATCTCTCCTTCCCCAAAACTAAACCACCATCCTCCCAACCAGCCAACCCCCCAAACAGCACAGATTTAAAAATCTTGCAATTTTATTTGCATATAAAGGCCGCTAGATATAGAATATCACAATAAATTTAAAGAAACAACTGCTTTCCTAAACTTCATTAACAAGATAACATAAAATAGAATAAAGCTCAACAGCATTTACAATGGGAAAACAGAAATGACTATTAGCGACAATATTTTGTGCTAGCGAAGATTGCATCGACACACAGTGCAAAATGGGGGAGGGGAGAGGAAGTAAGAAGACAATTCAGGGTATTTAAATATAAAGGACAACTAAGCCTTATTTTAGTTAGCTTCCATTGCATCCACTTATATGTCTACACGCCTGTAACTGTACCTAGATTTTCCTCAAGCTCTTTAAGACCTTGAGTTCTGAGAGACGGCATCAGCTCCGATGGACTTCTGATGCCCTGCAGTGAAGCATCGCTTTGCAGGTGTACCGTCCTTGGCAATAGTAAACTCCTAACTTAGCCAAATACACACAAAATATTTATATATAGAAACCCATATTGAAAAGGAGTCTGTAAGCTGGTTTTTTTTTTAACTGCATGAAATTCCTGCTCTTGACAGATTCCTTTTCCACATTTTTAAAGCTAAAATAATTTAAAAGAAACAAACAAACAATGAGACCTTGTATAGCCACAATAAGTATCTCACTAGCTAAGCCATCCTTTAAGTGAGGGCCATTTTCTTCCCTTGACACAGCTTTCTTTACAGTGAGAGCGTGAAGAGAAGTCTTTTCCACTCCTACTTTTGTTGAAATGATTGCAATAATTCCAGGCCACTGCTGCAAAATAGAAGCATTACCAGGAAAACAACAAGAACGACAATAAAACATCAAAAAAAAAAAAATACTTCAAACAATACTCTAAAACAGTTGTGCAAATTTGGGTAGTTTTTAAAACACTGCCTACCTGTTTCTCTTTTTCTTTCTTTTTCTTCTAGCTTAAAGCATATTAAAATAAGACTTTTATCACCTTTTAAAAAGAAAGCTGGGCTGTCCTTTGGCGAACACTAACAATTTACAATGGCGTGGCCTTTGAGACGACAGAAGTCATTTTACAAATTCACAATGCTCCTTTGATTTTGAATGGCTGCCGCATTTAAGAAAAATAATAATAAGGAGAAGCGCAATATCTAGCATCATTTGTGTCCCAGTAAGTTACAAAAAGAACTCACAGGATTTGGAAATAAACAAGTAAGAGAATGTAAGTTTATAATTAGAAAAATGGCAGTTTATAGACCTTCCCTCACATTCCAATTGGGCATTTAGAGCTTCAGGAACCCTGTGGGTTTGGAAGGTCAAATATAATTGGTGGGTTGGTTGGTTGAAAGCTGACTGTACACGTTGAGGCATTGATGTATGTTGTGTACCCATCGGTCATGATGCCGTAACCTGTGGAGAGAGAGAGAGAGTCGCACTTAACTGTAATATATACAAATGGAAGTGATTCAATGCAGGGCTGTCAGGCAAGGAAAACAAAAAAAATCTTTGCCAGGAGGCAGCGAGATGAAATTCAGGGGAGCCTCTGTAGATATAACAGCTTTCAGAATTTATTTTATTCTGCCTCCTGATTTTACTCTATTTTCTTTGAAGGGAGAATCCTTTACTTCAAAGAAAGTGATTCTTTTTTCCCTTATTTAACCACTAGATTTGTAAGGGAAAGTCTGTGACTTATTACTACTGAGAATAAAGAAAAAACACCTTTCCCCTCTTTTTAAAATGTGATTCTCATTTCACAGCCCTGTACTAACTACTGAGTTCTAAGGAACAGAAGCAGTAACGTAAGAACCTCCTCAGGGGCACACGCACCCAAGCCTTGCATGGAATTTGGGACAGGTGAGCGGGGAAAGAATATGGCACTGGGGGTTGGGAGAGGTGGATGCTCAGCTTATGTATGAAATATCTCTACATGGCTTCAAAGAAAGTTAACAGTAAGTGATTTTATCTAACTCGAATTGTGTGGCTTTGATGCTTAGTTCCATTTCATTCAAAAGAGTCACGTAGGTCACATAGGACACTGCTTCCTAAGGTTTCCTGGACAGTGGATCAAGCAAAAACACTTCCTGTATGCAGTATAAGCCTTGTGTGACCAACTGGAAGAAAGCTAAGAAAGTTTCTCTGGGTCTTCAGTATGTATGTTCCTTTTATAATTTTTAATTTGTTGAAATTCTGTGTGTTTGCAAAGGTGCCCGCTTCCCTGGATGCCTTAAATTTGCCTTAGAGCCTCTGCAATTCAATCTGTAATTCTATGTTGGTACCAGGCTCTTATGGCATAGAAAGGTTTGTCTGTGAAAAAAGAAAATTACCAGGACTTATAGAAATAACTGATAAGGGTTCTTTTTTTTCCATTTGCTAAAATTTCTTCAGTAAGCCTGTGGAGAGCTTAATGAGGGTCAATGGAAAAATCTCTTAAGAAAAGAAAAGAGGCATTTAAAATGTGCACTGTTTAGTTCTGGGGTCATAAAGTCTTGTTATCTCTCTCTATCAAGAGGTTGGTATTTGCCCTCTCTCTGCCCTCTTCAGCTGTCTTAAGCGAATAAAAGTGAGACAAGTTTATTTGAATATGATCTCTTCCCTTTTAAGCAAGTTTATTATTTTGGGACTTCAGTGGAATTCCCCAATTGTCTGGCTAGTTTAAAGCTAAGTAATGATTTTAAAGAAAGGGATGAAATACAAACTCAGAGGCATGCTGCAGGAATTCAAACCTGATAGCTGCTCTCCAGAAATGCTGTTTAGACATGAGCTCCCATCTCCACCCAAATCCTGTATCATGCCTTAGGAAATGCCCTCCCTTCCATGGAGTACAGTTCAAAGAACGGGATGACATCCACGCTTGGGGAGCTGCACTCCTGCTTCCCATCCACTCGGCTGGTGCCTGCACTTGGAGGGAGCTGAATTTTCTCTGGCCTTAGTGGGGTGATTTTTCAGTATGCTTTTTATTCTCTGCTTCACCTGGAAGTGGGTGGATTTGCAGGCTTTGAAAAGCAAACTTTGTATTTTTTTGTTGCTTTTGTTGGGCACATGGACCTAAACACCTAGGTCTGTAGACTTGTAAACTTGTAAATAACTCTGGAGAGAACAGCTGTAAGCAGGGTACCCAGAATATGGTGGTATGTCCAGGTAAATGCACCTACAGCACACAAGCCAGTGCAATCGGGAGCATCCAGCAGGGCCTGAGAGTCCAGGGCCTGCTGGAAGCTGGCTTTTTGTTGTCCTAAGGGCCCAGTCACCCATGTCTAAAGGCAGGACAGACGAAGCCTTCAGCTCTGCAGGTTCCTGCGAGGCTTTCAGAGTCTCTGACCTCGACTCCAGCTCACCTTGGAAGGCAGAAAACAGCACCTGGGCCAGTTCCCATTTAGGGGAGATTTAATCATTGTGTTTAACCTCAGCTCCAGCTAATAGTGCTGATTTCTGAGAAGTCTAAAATGTTTTCTGATGTTAGTAAGGAAGTATTTACCTGCAAAAGGGCTGGTTCCTGCCATTTCTGTTATGTATATTTCATGGCATGTCCTGAGTTATTTTTCAAAGAATGCCTTGTCTCCCTGGGTCTGTGTGTGCATTCCGTATTTCTTTATCCCACAGTATTTATAGGTAGGAAGAGGCCACAGAAGTTATGTAGTCTCACAATTAAGCCATTTCTTCCATCTTAAAGAGACCATTTGTCCTTTTTTACCTCATGGCTGCTCTACAGTGGTGGTTACCAGCTCAGCAGAGCCCTGAGATGCCAGAAGTTGCCTGGGGGAGTTCTGGGTTTTCGTGTGATGTGGGCCAGACTGGCTCCTGCTCTCTACTCTGCTTAAAAGAGAGCAGCTCCAAATAAAATATTTATCAGTTTTATATGTAGATGTTTCTTCTAACAATTCATTTTACAAAAGGGTTCCACTGGTAAAAAGAGTCTGAAAACCACGGCTCCGTTATTTCCAGGGAACTGAGGTCTCTGTAGAACGAGATCATGGGCAATGACACAACATCCTATGAACCCCTTTCTTCTGGTCTTACCTTCATGGATTCCACCAAATACATGGAGTTTGGGCCGGACTCGCCTCTGGACTGTGTTTAAAAGCTCCACACAGCCCACCCTTTGAAGCTCCTTTGGAACCCAGTCTCGAAAACCTAAGGGCAAAATGCAATCAATACTCTTAATTTTCTTCCTTCAGGTAAGGTTTCATTTAGACTTTCAGGAAACCATAACTCACAGAAGGTTTATTACATTATCTGTAATCCTAGCCTCTCCGTTAAAGCTCACAATGGCTTTTAAGGAACTTTTCACTTGTCACTTTGTCTTCTTTAGGTTCTTGAAATTTTTTTTTTTGGTTTCCATTTTTTTTTTATTTCCTGTTAATTAACATCTTTTTTTTTTTTTCTGTAAGGAATTTGATTTATTCAGCCCCAGGTTTCAAATCTTCTTCATGAGCTCAGTGACATTTATTCCCGGCAGTCCCATAATATTTCTTTTTCTCTCAGTTCAGTTACTTTCTCTCTCTCTCTTTCTCTCTCTCTCTCTTTCTCTCTTTTATTATATCTTTCTTACAGTGGTTTTATTTCCAAGATGGTCCAAAGAAGGTCTAGGAGAAGCTGCCTGTAAATTGGACACAAAGAACTTTGCTTTCCTTAGATACATGAATTCTTCACCCTGGGTGGTTCCTGATGACCGAAGCTTGGGGACCCCAAGTTTGTCTCATTTCCTCTCTAGCAAATGACCTCATGGTGGTATCCAGTAAGCTGGGGCTAACTGACCATCTTTAGAGTAAAAGCCACTTAGTTCTATGCTTAATGCAGAAAACCCATAAAAACTGACATCAATTATAGCAAAAGTCAGCTCTCTAGATGATTATGCCTCTAAATGGAATCTATCTGCCTCAGCAGGATGGGGTGTAAAGAAGGTAGGTGGGACAAAAGGCTAAATCATAATCAGTGGGAATCCACTTCATAGCCCCATTAGGTGACTACTACTATTTAGAAATGATTTGGGAGAAAGGGACACAAAAACTTATTCCACTTTGTTTAGTGAAATCGTAGAAATGAAGGTTCGTTATCTCTGTAGACATGTTAGCTGGGGTGTGAAATTGGTCAGAGAGTTTGGGAAGAAAATAACATGAAAGTGGGGGTCCTATAAAAATCCAATGAGGGATTTGAAAACTTTGTTAATTAGAGGAAAAAATCCTTAATCCCCAGTGACTGGCTTCCCTTCCCAGCAGTAGAGGATTGAAGGCCAATCCCCCCCCACTCCAATCAAGCATTTTCATAAGAATCCTAACATTGGTACTGATTAAAGTTGACTTTACCTTATGAAAACTTTGCCTGACTTTTTGTTTTAGAACTTGGCATAGAACTTATTCTGCCATATGTCCAGCCACTCTCTGGATCACTCCATCTTCACTACAAAGGAGGGATAGTAGCCTCCCTAATAAGAGTTTCTGGGGTGTCTGAATTCTTTGGAGGCTGGAACTCAGGCTTAACTATTACAGCCACTTGCTGTTGTACTAACATTAATGATTTGATGAGTCTGTGAATCAACTGTTCTGTTCAAAGTTCCAGTACAAATAAAATTGTAGTCATGTAAATGCTGAGGCTATCCAAGTCCTGTTTACAATAAACAGCCTGAAGGAATCATGCCTGCTCCCAAGGTGGCTGCCCAGGGAAAGGATCAAGTTGGCTGGGATGCTACCTCGGCAGGGTCTCCAAGTAACTCAGCCTGATCAGAACATTTAGCTAGCAATTAATGGTGTGGTCCCTAATGATCACAAAATAGGGAAATTAATTATGACTGGATAAAGGTTGTTGATAAGTACAATCTTTCAGAACATGTGATGGATTGTACAGGGTAGGGAAAGAAACACTGGGGATGGTGATTCTGAAGTGTTGAAAAAGTCAGGAACTACTGATCTTGTGCACATCTGTACAATTGTCCTACCTGCAGCTGAACTGGTTCTTCTTCTCTTGCTTCCCCCTGTCATTAAGATGTGCTACCATGGCTCATGCCCTGGTCCCTTCTGCTGTTTCTATATGAAACCAGAGCACTTCCCTTATAAGGGAAGGAAAGCAACCCTAAGTGGCTTGGAGGGGAAAATATCTCCACTGATTAAATGCACATTAGGGGATGCTGGTTAGATTTTATATTTTTCAGGCTGACAGAGGAAGGAAGTGGCATGAGAAAACAACCCCAAACCACAGAAAAAAATCATGAAACTCATTTATTTTTGTATTAAGTGTTTTTCCCCTCTCTCCGAACCAGATGATCAAGAAAACTTTGCTAGTCCTATACATTAAAAAGTGTGTTAAGAGGGTAGATTTCACGTTATGTGTTTTTTTACCCAATTTAAAAAAAAAGAGAGAAGGAAAACTCTCCGATTAAAAATGAAACAACTGAATTTTCTGAGTACACCCTGGTTTCACAGGAAGGGTCCTGGCATAATAGATACCCCGTATAGATGGGGGATTAAGGTGGTAGTCCTGTATGAAAAATGTTCTGTGCCTCAGCTAAATAGATAAGTTCAGAATTATTAGAAGAAATTGTATAATCATCTAATAATCAAATAATCCATAATCTGGGTAACTAAAGGCAGCTTTGAAGCACACCGGCACAGGCTCAATGTGGCTGTAAGATGAGTATCTGTAAATAACTTTCAATGTTAAGTCCTTACTTAACACCTTAAGTTAACAAACAAAGAAAAAAAAAAGGATTCTTTTCTCATATAATCGGCTCAAATGTTAAACTTTAAAGATCTCCCAGATTCCACTATTATATGGAAAGGGAAAATAAGTTTCTTTGACCAGAAGTTTCCATCATTCCATTGCCATTCAAAAGCCCTGCGATTGGGATGTCTGTGTCTTCTTTCCCTTCCTTAGCCCACCTTCTTCACTCCAAAATGAAGACAGTTCTTCAAATAAACTATCTGGCTCAAGAGGCTGTGGTGCTCCAAACTCATTTGATTTTTCCTGACTTGAATAAATAAAAAAAATTTAATTTCAAGAACACTTGTAGGCCCAGCAGAACTGCTGAGTTTAATTACTATACTGGTTTCTTTAAAGACATTGACTTTCCTTTTTTTATTCACTTTTTTTTTTTGAGGAAAATGATTATGTCCCTGAAGCATTATGCTCAGGGAAAAAAAGACATTTCATATGAAAAAGGACAACCTTTGCTTCACTTACCTAGAGGAGGTCCGTGTGTCATGAGTATGTCGATGCCCTCAGGGATGAGATTCCACTTGTCCAGCAGAGACTGACCTCTGGGTAGGTTAAAGCCCCATCCATTAAACCACGGGGTCCTTTGGGGGAGATAATGCACATGGTATTAGGCCCGCAAAGCCATGTTTCTGCTCTGCAATATTTCTCTCTCGCACATTCCCCCACGGTTTGCATTGCTCTCTTCTCTTTTTGATGGTTGGCCCTGGCAGCAGGATGCTTTTTTGTTGACTGCTTCAAAACCAAGGCATTTGAAACCAAGTGTGGAGCCTGTGAATTGTTCAACTAGAAAGGGGCGCAAGAGCCTTTACAGTGGAGACTTTCCCAGCAGACCTGTATCAAAATCTTAACAATGCTTTGCTTCCCCCAAATCTCAGTGCTTCCTAAGATGCTAGGCCTGGATCCAAAGCACTTCCACCCTTCCTATAATGTCTCAGCAAAGAAATTCCATCAATCCTCCTTTCTCCCCTGACCTTGGAACTACTACTTCCCTAGAAAGATTCTTACTAAAGTCCTTGGAGAGAAGCACAAGTACTCTGAAGGCAGAAACTTCTACCTGACGTTGTTCTGAATACCCTTGACTGAGAATGCTAAGAAAGTATGGGCTCTGAAAAGTGAGAAGGAATGCAAGAACAAAAAGCAAACGTGAACTTCTCTTCCTGTCACCAAAGGGAAGAGTTGGGGGATGTCCCTGGTCACTCTGAATCTTCTCGTGACAGTGACTGTGGGTATTATACTCTCACAGGAACCTCCGCTCCGGGAATGAGTTTCTGAGGTCAGCGTCGCATGTGGAAATGAATGGGGTCTCTGTCCATCCAGTGAGCATTGCTAATTGGCACTGACAATGTCCCTACCACTTATAGTAATGGGAGAATGATCAATTTTTCTCTACAAACACTACAAGCTAAATCACATCAGAACAAAGCAGTCCCCAGGGCCGTTCTATTCCCAGGCTTTTATGTATAATAACCATTATTTTTTGAAACCAGCTCTTTTACTCAGTAGGAAAATTTGGATTTGCTACAGCATAAATGCAAAAGACAAGTTGGTCAACTTTGTGGCTAAGCCCAACTCTCCTCTACAACTTAAGCTGCTCTTCTATGCCTGCTGAAAAGAGGTTATCCAGTGTACCAGGTAACCTGGTCAGGCACAGATAAACCAATGGGGTGCATTCTTATTTAAAGCCAGTCGTGGGCCAGATTAGTAAGACTCTCTCTGGACCCTGAACTCAGGCACACCAACCCAGCATCCTTCCAGTGGAGGCCAGGTACCATGAAGGCCAGAGAGGGAGGGATTGCAGATGAAAACCATGTGAAAATCCTCCTTACAGATGAGAACTGCACTTACCACTGTGCTGGTTAAGAGAGAAAGTTCTAGAGATAAGAGATTATGTAGCCCCAGCTAGAAAAAGAGAAACCAAGAAAGTATCTGACTTGATTCCTATGACCACTTATCAAATTTCTAAGCCAACCTCCAGGGGCTCACTTGTAATAACAACAATAGTAGAATAAGAACAGTAATTATTAAAGCTATTAATTATTGAGTGCTTACTCTGTGTCAAGGTGCTATTCTAAACATTTTCTTTGTATTAACACATTTAAGCTCTAAGCTCATAAGGTGGGTACTACTACTAACCCCATTTTAAAGATGGGGAAACAAAGGCACAAAGGCGTCATGGGTTTCTCTCTAGGATCCTGAGTCTTGAGAACTACGTAAGCCTGGAATTGCCCAGGAACTTATTAGCCAACACGCAAATAACCTATGCTTCTGAGAATCAAACCATCACAAAGAAAGCGGACCTGAGAAACAGTGCCCCTTGAAGGCCAAGGGGATCTGCTTGTGCTTAAGTCAATCTCACTTTTCCTTCCAAGAATATAAACCCATTAAATCCCTTTTATTGGCTTGAGTTAGGTCCTATTTCTGCAGCTGGAAGGGCCCCAGTATATACAATTCTTGTACTTAGTGTAAAAGGGACCTATGTACTTAGAATAGGCAATAATGTGCCCCCCACCCCCACCCCACCAAAGATGTCCGTGTCCTAATCCCTGAAACCTGTAAATATATTACCTCACATGGCAAAGGGGAATGAAGGATGCTGATGGAGTTCAGGAGCTAATCGGCAGACCTTAAAATAGAGAGATTATTCTGTGTTACATGGTGGGCCCAGTGTAGTTACATGGGTCCCTAAGAGTATAGGAGGAGGGCAGAGCAGAGACAGGAGTGATGTGGTGGAAGGCCTCGATTTGTTGCTGGCTTTGAAGGTAAAGGAAGAGGAACAGCCCAGGACCATGCAGAGCCTCTGGAAGCTAGTAAAGGTAACGGAAGAAAATGAATTTTCTGAGCCTCCAGAAAGGAACACAGCGCTGCTGACAACACCTGGATTTTAGCCCAGGGAGACTCGTGTTAGGCTTCTGACCAACAGACTATAAGGTAATAAATACGTGTTTTCGTAAGCCACTAAATTGGTGTTGATTTGTTACAGCAGCAACAACAAATGGATGCAGTACCTAGAATGTCTGCGCTGGGTGTAAATGCAGGGCCTGTGAGTGGCACTGGGCCTTACCTGGTACCCAGCATATGTTCAATCAGCGCAGGCTTTCCACAGCCAAACGCAATGCATTGGGTTTCCTCTGAGGGAAAGGCAGTGTTTTCTCAACCCCGTCTGCCGGGGAGACACCAGGCCTCACGGGCTGGGGAGAATGCCAGGTGGACCCATTCAGAGTCCAGTTGGTCTATCACGCTGTCTCTTGTCTACTAGGACTCCCGCCTCCCCGCCTCCAGGTTCTTAAGCATTTCCATCTGAGTCTAATATAGATCTTTCTCAGGTTGAGATGCCTCTCCTTCCCCTTTATTTTACAATGACCCTTTCCCAAGATGTGTCTTCAAAGTAAGAAGAAAAAAAAAATTGGCACATTCAGAACCTAATGAAAGCTCAGTGAGCATGTTGGCATGAGAGAGAGAAAAATAAGCAAAAACATCTGTTTTCCTAGATTTTGAAAACAAGCTTCTGGGCCTATGGTTCCTGTCTGAATGGCAAATAAAGAAGGGTTTGAAAGAGTCCCAAGCACACCCAAGTGGTTGGTACAATGAGGGGCTCTGATTTCACTGCCAGAATCTGTCTGAGGGCAGTCAGCCTCTGGACCCCCAGGGTACCCCAGGGACTTCCAGAGTCCAAAGAATAGGACTTAATTTTTTTCAGTCTTCCTGGTTTTCTCCCACAGAATTTTCTCTTAGAAACCCACAGTTCTATTCCCCTGGAAATGTTCATTATTGTAAGTGCTCTGTAAAAGATTAAGACAAGCCCATTTTCTATAGATACTCTAATTTCATTTGGTTAATGTTAAGCTTGTGACAAAATCCAGAAGTTTTCATGTTAAGGGCAAATTAAAAAAATATCTGGCTTTTATTTTGGCTCAAACCTGCATGTGTATGAGAGGGAGACAGAGGTTAAGTTATAGGAAAAGGAACACATATCAAATCCCAGATTTACCTAGGGGTTTACACGGGGATTTTACATAGACTAATACATTTAATTCCTCATGACAATTCTTCAGTTAGGTATTATTAGCTCCATTTTTAGATAAAAAAGGCTGAAGGTCTGTAACATCAAGTACCTCGTCCATGTTGCCCAGACTGGTGAGTAGTGGAGCCCAAATTTGAACCCAGATCTACTGTCTCCAAAGCCTGTGTTCTTCCCGCACAATGCTGAGCTGAAACATTTTAACCCAGTTTTGGTTTTGGCTCTCACATACGTGAAGTAAAAGTTGGGCTGCTCCATACAGTCTCTTGGCGTGTGCTCCACAACTCCAGAAGGTGCTGTGGCTCTGTGTGACTGAGGTGGCCATTAGTAAAAACAGAATGTGAACAATCTTACTATGGCTTTTCTGGGATGTTTTTTCTGTTTTCTCTAGATCCTCCAGACAAGGCCTTTTCCAGAAGACAGTGGCCAGGCAATCAAAGCATGACACAGAAAATGGGGGCATACAGAAGTTGGGAGACCCATGTGCTAGTTCTCATTCATGCATCAATTCACTAACTCACAGGAACCTTTGACAAGAAAGAACCCTCAGGTGGCTAGTTTCTTCATCTGAGAAATGAATTGAGTAGAAATGATTCGATTTGTAGATTTCAGGATTGCTTGTAGGTTGCAGAAAACTGCAGAGTGCCTTACCCAGAACAATCAGGGGCACTCTCACTCGGGGGCTGGGAGGAATGGCTCTGAACCTGATCACTCACCCAGCCCCTCTTCCCTTCCGACCTCGTCTCTGCATCCAGCTGGTAAAACTTGGCACTTGATCTGTGATCTAGAAATCCTAACATTCTTTAATTCCGTGCAGACCCTCAATGTTCCGGGTAAATGCTGCAAATTGCTCTCTATGAATTACCTAAATTGCGTGTAAGGAATCAAGTCCAGTGTGAGAAGAATAACTGCACAGAGTGGAGACTGAGTGTGTCAGTATCGATGAATAACGCTTTATCCAGTTGAGTTTCAACCTGAAACATGAAACCCCAGCAATAAGCCCATCAGGGGTTCACTGGAAAATATGTGCACAGTCAACCTCCAGAGCCCCACAATGGATTTTGTTCTGTAGGGGGTGGGGGGCGAGGGGAGTGAGCAGGAGGGAAGAATCCAAGGGAACAATGTCTATTGCCTCAGCCAGGGACTTAATAATTAGCTGTGACTAACAAATACCACATGGGAACCAAGTTGTAAGAAAATGTCCCACAAAGCACCCTACTGCCAGTAGGCCAACTGGAGCCAGTAACCCATCCTCTGACAGAGAGGGAGTAGAAAACGGAGGAGGGGAGCATGTCAGCTGCTGCAAGCCACTAGACAGAGACTCACATGGATGGAAGCCGGGGATGTTGTCAAGGTACCCTTCCCCTTGCTGAAATTAGGGGTGCTTGGCCTCTGGGCTGCAAGTCAGGGGCAGGAAGAAGGGAGTTAGCATAGACAGAACTGGCTCTGAACAATGTCAATACAAAACAGGTTTTCTATATGGAAGCAGGGTGAGATGAAATCAGTGCACAGGGCATCTGTGTTTGCAGTACACAGTGCAGTCGTGGTGCGGGCAGAAGGAAG